AACTGGTTAATGCATGGATGGAAATCCACTTTTACCTCTGTAGATGTGGTTTCTTTGTTCCACTGCTGTGAATTTTGACCTTCATGGTAGATGGCGACAAACAGAAACGAACTCAAATGTTAACCTGCTATTCTTTATTACCTAGAATGGTTTGGCTTCGTCCGACATATGCTAAATTCGAAAACCAAGGCTAGGAATTGCAACACTGAACCAGTCATATTATCGACACATAAAGTAACTTTTCCACGCAAAGTACCAGATCTCGATTGGACGTGTGTGGAAGCTCCATTACTAAACTCTCTTTTAATGCACCGGACAGATGTTTTCAGCCCATATGATCCCAGTCCTCCCACGCAAATTTGGTAAAGTGGATTAGAGGCAAAGTGAAACTATCGTCATTGTAGGGCCATCGTTTTGATAATACTTATTTATTTTCAGTATAGATAGAAACCGTTGCCGAAAAACGCATCTTAATTGTTAAACTGATGTATGCAACAATCTTAAAAACTATTAATTTATTTTGCTCCACTTTCAAAGAAAGGCGGCTTTCAAGCAATTTCTGTGGAGCGATAATACACCCACCTCATTGCGTTATGCTAATCTACAAATTAAAGAATTCAAGGAAGTGTAATTAACTACTGATCCTTCTTTCCAGGCTCCAACGCTGAACTGTCCGGGGTTCTCATCTGGCGGCCCGTGCACTCCGGGCCTTACAATATTTGTCCACCTGTTGTGTACCTCCACCAACGAATCGGTGCACCGCGCGGCGTTGGGTGTGCTGGCGGAGGTGGCGCAGGACCGCGACTCTCTCGACGCCATCGCTTCGGTGCCGGGTATCTCGACTCGCCTTAACGAGCTGGCGGGCTCGCGCAACGAGGCCATTTCTACCTACGCGGGCACCCTCATCCTCCGCCTTACCGCACCCTCCGCCGCCACCGTACTGCCATCCACCGAGGATGCCTTGACAGGGCACAGCAAGGTGGTGGTAGACAGCCTTACCACCCCACCGCCTCCACCCCTCCCTATGGACACGAGTGGTGGTGGTGGAGGGCGCATATCTCCCGTCACCGCGTCCGCTTGCTTTCCTCCCCAACCACTCTTTCACCAGCACCACGGCCAACCTATGACTTACGCTGCCCCACCACCACAGCAGCAAGCGCCGTCGGTCCAGCGGTACGCCCCAGGGGGATACCATTACTCTGGTGAGGCTGTGGCAGGACCTGGTGGTGGTGGGGTTGGGGGCAGTGGTGGTTCCCTAATGGCTATGGTGGGACCTCCGCCCCCCGCCTCAGTTTACTCTGTTAGTGGGAGTGGACCCTGCCCCATGAGCGTCCAGTCGATGCCTCCGCAGCAGCATCCACACTGCTACCAACAACAGCGTAAGTTCCTTACCTTTTGAAGTGGTCCCTTTAAAAGTGGTGGTAAGTAGTCGCCTTTTATCAGGTGCAATAGTGCATTTTTAGGAGGTGATGAAAGACTTCGAGTGAATAGGCGAGATCTACCTTTTGCGATTGTCTCTAGTGAAACTATCCTCATTCCTAGCTCACCGGTTGGGTAACTGCCCTTCACACTTTTGTTCAAAGGTCTTGCTTCTCCTAATCCCCGTCTTTCCTTTTCCTCTTAAGATACCATCTGATCTACCTAAACATGTCAAATTGTCAAGATTGCCTCGTTGGTTTTAGTGTCAGTTAAAAATTGCCGTTTTATGGGACTTGATTTAATCTCGACGGAAGAGTTTGCTTCATACAAGCCTGGGAATTAGTTGTGTATTTGTGCACAATGAATTGACATTCAGCATTTTTTCGCATCGTTGGTTGATTGTGAAAAATTTTGGAATATGAATTTAGTAGCATTAAGCTTTTTTCTTCCGTCAAATAGCCTCGAAAGAAGTTCGCATCTTAGTAAATCTGCTCAAAATCTTAACGTATACTGAGTCTGCCTGGAGGAAAGTTATTTCTAATAAGCAAAAATTTGCATGCTCTACAAAATCGCCGATGTCGTAATTGGGCTCGGTATGCTTTGCTCCTTTTATCAGAGCGATTTGTTTTGACGAGGCTCTGATAACTTATCTTAAACAGTATTTTCGATGCTTAACCTTTCCCCTAAATTTTTCGCTTCCCTTGTCGCAGAACCCATCACTGGACAAAGGACATGCATTTTGGGGCATTTTGTTGTCAAAGCTTGACCGAACTGCATAGGTGTAATTTACCCGACTAGATACTGCGCGTAAACATCAAGGTGAAGTGGCAATATAGTTGCTTTCATCAGTATAACAAACTTTATATGGTGATGGCGTACCCAGCTACTTTAGGCTATTCATGTTAAAAGCATTAATTTTGAGTTTTTCTTTGATTACTTTTCTAACCTAGATTATACGTCTCCGTCAACTGATGCCATGTAGTTTACGGATTGTAGCTCTGAGGTGTGAAATACATACAGTGTTGGTCAGAAATTTTTCCGTACTGAAGGCTCTCAAGAGGAGCTGTCAATCACCCTGTGTGCACAGGTTAGTGTGACAATGATGGATCTACTACCAGTCTTGTGTGACTGAACAAGTCAAAACAACGCAGTGGATGTCATTACTTTTTCTTCAAGCAATCGTTGGCCTGTTATTGAGGTGCGCCTCAATGTGCACGTTTGGCATTTTGTTAGAAGTAACAGGTAAACCTCAACTTCTCAAAAAAGTGCTTGCTAATTTGTTTTTCCGACGAAAGAAGGAGGCTTAATTCAATTATTGTCGAAAATTCTTCGCTGCCACCACAGGTCCAACACATTGTCTTCACACAATCGGGTTTAAACATAACGTTAGAATGGCACGCTCCAGTGTTGTGCTATCCGTCAAGAGCCACTCCAG